GAGAGAGAGAGAGAGAGAGAGAGAGAGAGAGAGAGAGAGAGAGAGAGCGAGAGAGAACTCAGTAAACCACACACGAACACACGGAGAGACACAGGTGTTTAATAATATACTCACCATCGTGCGTCGCCCAGTCCGGTCGCGACGCTTCCCCCACGGGCGACGTCAAGTCCTGCATCATCGTGAAGGGCGTAGACCTCTCGCTTGCATCCACGGGCCTGCACGGCTGCTCCGGCGCTGGGGACTCACGGTACGGCCCGTAGTACGGCAGCTGCGACGGAGGTGCGTCAGGCACATGCTCGTAGTATTTCTCCGGCGGTTGCTCATCCCAGTGTTCTCTGTCGGAAGCCTGCGATTCAGCCTCCTGCTGCTGCTGCTGCTGCTGCTGTTGATCGGCTGCACCAGGTTCGATACCTGGTGAAACAGGCTGCGCTTGCTCTTGCCCAGACGGGGACGCCTGCTGGACATGTTGCTCCTCCTTCTGCTCCGCCGCCTGTTCGATCGCTGGCTTCTTCTTCTTCTTCGAGCGCGGTTTCGGCGGCGGCCATACGGTCATCGTGCCCGCGTTGCGCATCAGCGGAGAGAACTGCACGCCGCGGCTCGCCGAGCGCGGAGTCACCTGCACTCCGAAGTCCGTCTGGGAGAAGCGGTTGAAGTAGGGATCCCACTGCGTCGCTTTGTTCCGCACGACGCCCTGGCGTTTCGCGCGGCACTGCGTCGACGCGTTTATCGGCAGACATATCGGCTGCCACTGCGTGCTCTTGTCCGCCACGTCCGCCGCTGTGTCTGCGGCAGTAGCTGCTGGCTTCATATCCCGGCGGCTATCCGCTTCATCTGGCACGCTGCTCTCTTCCTCAGCATCCGCTCCGACGGATACGCTGCGCATGGCGGGAGCCGCGATTGCATCAGTGCCGCGCTCACGTGTTACCGCGTGTTCGTAGGGCGGCTGTGCGCTGCTGCTGCTGCTCGCTGTTGCCACCTCGTCAGCTTGTACGGCATCTGCAGCACGTGGCGGCGCACGTGGCTGTGATCCCTGCATCGGGGCCTGCGCGGCTCGCGGCAGCGGCGGAGAGCCCTCCTCAATCTCCGTCGTGTCGTCACGCTCGTCGTCGTCGTCGTCTTGCTGGCCGGTTAGCGACACGAGATGACGAGTGACGACGTAGCCGTCGTTTGTCTGTGTCACGGCGCTGTGGCCGCGGGCGTCCGGCACGTACCCGAGCGCGGTTTGCGTCGATGATTCCTCAAGTTCGCGAACCTGTGTCTGCGTCGAGTTCGCATTGCCGGACGGCGCTGCTGCTGCTGCTGCTGGCGGTGACCGCTCAGCTGGTTGGCCCAGATCTCGACTCGCGCTGCTTGACAGCTGGGGCCTGGATGCTGCTGATTGAAGGAGTGGCTCATCACTCTCTAGCTGCGGGGAAACCTGCCCGCCGCCGACGTCGGCTGCGGCCGTGATAGGTGCGTCCGGAACGCGAATGATCATCGGAAGGATGATAGGTTCTTGCTTGTCAGTCTGTACGCCGCTATCGCTTAACACGACCGCCCGTTTCTCGGCCTGTTTCTCGGCTGGTCCTCTTACCTGTTGATCATCCTGCACTGCTGTGAGCAACGGCACCGCCACAGGCGTCGGTACTGCTGCCGCTACAGGCGTCGGTACTTCTGACGGTGACGCTGCAGGCGTCGGCATCTGTGACGGTGACGCTGCAGGCGTCGGCATCTGTGACGGTGACGCTGCTGGCGTCGGCAGCACTTCCTCTAACGGCGGCGTCTGCGTGCGCCTTTCGGCGCGCTCGCACGTCGTCTGCGTGCGTCGTGTCGACGTTTTCGTGACGCTCGCCTGCGTCTGCGTCGTGCGCTGCTGCACGGGTACCGCCGTCTGCGTCTGTATGTTGTTGTTCGCCTCGCCCGGCGACGCCGCGCGGCGACCGCTGCTGTCGGCGTCGCCTCCTTGTTCGTCGTCGCCACTCACCGGTGTCGCTGCCGAACGCATTCTCGTCGCTAGCACTACGGCGAGGCCGGCGATAACGACGACGGCTCCTCCGACGACGGGAAGCGATCCGACCATCTCCGAGAGAGCGATTAGCAGGTGGTCCGCCATGATGGCACCCGTTCTGCGCCACACCTGTTGTGCTGCGGCTGTCTGGCCGGGGCGGCGGCGGCGGCGGTACACGCGCTGCAACACGTACTACGCACCTTACACACTATCGCGCGCGCGGAGACTGAGACGCGTGCGCGCTGGCAACGCTTTGTGTATCCGGTCCGATCAGAGTGCGCACCACGCCCACTTTTCCGACCTCGGGCGACGCGCGCCGGCAAGCATGTACTAGCGGTACGCCCACGTGCCTGCGACGCTGGACGACACGTGAGAATGCACACAATCGCTCGCTCGCGCGCAGCTACAGATGCAGGGTATATCACGATATCACCTCGCGGAATTTTCGTTGGAGTTTTCGTCGCAAAACTAATACAATCGGCACGCTATACGTGTAATAATGTGCTCGCATGCGACCACGGGTAAATCGATATATATACCGTCTTCAGAGCGCAGCCAGTGTTCTATATTAAAACATTTGCTTGATTTAACAGGTTCCTTGAAGCATGACACGAAAAATTCCGTGCGATGAAATTTCACACGTCAACTTCGTAGTTACGTAGGGTACACTGAAAACGTTGTCGATTAATTACTGTAGGTAATACACACAGCTGCAATATTACTGTAGAGTTGCTCGCACACAATGTATCCGGCACGTTTTCACTATTCAAGGCCGTCGTCCTGGCGATATGCTCTCGATCGAAGTAGGTTGCATAGATATCGTTACAAAATCCATTGACAAACTGTGGCAGCTAACGCAGGCCTACGTCGAAAATAAGGTTTACACTAGAGAGGCGTGTGGTAGCTAGGATCAGCCATAGGAAAACCTGCTGACTAATACGCATGTACTATATTCTCAGATCAATATAAGCGATTCTACTGCCGCTCGTGTACGTTGTCTGAATATACAGACTGTATTTCAACAAGAATAGACAGAACTTTGCGCCATAGAATATTTACAGTGTCAGAGGAAAATACATGCCCGCTTGCATGAAAAAAAACGTCAATCGTTTTGCTATATGATTAAAAGCTGTGTTAGACTATTTGTAAAGCAATGAGGAAATCTAAGCAATCTAAATCAATTCTATCTACTTCATAGTTCTGCTGTTTCCCAAATTTAGTGACGTGACAAACGGAGTGTGAACGCGGCACCCGGCAGTTAGATGCGATATTGTATGACTACTAGGCACTTAGGATATGACTACTAGGCACTTAAAAAAAAAAAAAACCCTACCCTAACCCTAACCTAACCTAAACCCTAACCCTAACCTAACCTTAACCCTAACTTTTTTTTATTTAAAAAAAATTAAATTAAATTAAAGTGCCTAGTAGTCATACAATATCGCATCTAACTGCCGAGTGCGTGAACGCGTGCGGGCAGGGGGGGGGGGTGAACACGCGCGAGTCCACGTGCGCGCATATAACAATCTTCCGGTGCCGTGGTTTTTAATTGGGGTGTAACGTCGGCGCACCCCCTAGCTAAATGTCATTACTGCAGGTAGAACACGCTGGTTGGTTCAATTACAATGTAGTTACATGCGTCATTTAGAACACATTTCCACGTTTGACAAACATGAATGGGAACAAAAACGAAAGAGCCACGGCGTGTATAAGGGTCTTCTCCCTGTTAATTATAGCTGATTGATTACTGCAAATATACAATGAAAATGTTGTTAATGTCTTCAATAACTGTCTTAGTATATAGTTTTTGATAAGGGATGTGGGTAAATATTCCACAAATCAGAAGGGTGTACAGTTTATGTAGCTTCAAAAAAATGTAGTTTATTTGACCTATAAAACATCTTACTCTCTATCATCTGATTATCTCACACCTGATTATCTATCAAAACAGGCCAGGAACAAACAGGCTATACCTAAGGCTAAGATAACAATTATCTATTGCATAGACGCGATAAACAATCATGTATAAGTAATACGTTGGTGTAGTACATGTATGAACTTAATCACTTCGATAGGATAAAAGCCCAAATGGGCGACAAATATATTCTCTAGGAGAGCTATATCATATGCTATGTTATTTGCTATAATACTAATAGCTGGCTCAGAGAAACGTGGTCATGTAAGCTAAGGCTGCAATATGATATAGTTAGTATATATACACTCCAGACGTTTAATATGACAGCCGCATCGCGGGCATGCAATATTAGCAGGTATTAACGTGAATTAACATATGTACCTTGGAGGACAACCCTTGGGTTATTAGCACTGTGACAGTTAACTATAAGTAGCTCCTCTGACAGAGGCTGAGCTAGTGAATGCAGAATGGGACACACCGCATGTAATATGATAGATATATAGGCCAACAATAATCTAACCCAACAAGAGCAAGCAAAAATGTAACTAACCTCCTCATAACCTCATAAGTGATAATAACTCTACTATATCTAGCAATATGATATCCCAGCCGTTGCAGAACAAACCTTCGATTTCAATGTCAAACTGAATAAAGTCCATTAATTCATTTTTGATAAAATAACAATGAATCAGGAGAACCATATCATATATGGGAGAACATAAAGCAGAGTCTATCTTATTAACATTAATTTACGCCCGAATAAATCACACAAAGTGACAACACTGTCAATTGCCGCCAAAGTCAAACCATCTATGGTCAAACAGATATTACTCAGTCAACTTATTGGCGAATTTCAATTTGTCAATTTTGGTGAACTATTAGTATTACTATAGGCCTAGACTTAATTTAGTTTATATCTTTAATCTGTTATCATTTATCTTTAGACTATAGGTAATATCTTTAGTCAGTTAGTACTAGACACGCTATATATTGTATATATCATACTCAATATTGCTAGAATAACATATCTGAAGTAAATTGTATGCATTACCTTCGTCGTAGCAGTGTGGTCATCGTTTTGACTACGACAAGAATGACTACGACCATACCGGCATACGACAAAATAATGTTATTCGAAGATGCGCGCCGTTTTGTCAATCGGGTACCCTCGGTGCCTCGGACCATTCAGAGAATAGCGTGGCTGTTTTCTAGGCATGACGGGAAGAGTCGAATGGGTTTTCCGATTGGCCGTTTTGTCTGTACTGCAGTGGCATGACAACATTTACCAGTCGGTGGCGCCACCTAGTGAAGATACCACTTAACTTTATCACGTTAGGCGCTTTATGCTCCCCCAAAACCTGTCCAGTCTATAAAGAGGGAATGTACACCCGAAAACGCATTAGTAGTTGAGCGGAGTGTGGAAGAGGGTAAAGGAAGGCGAAAGAGACGGGTAGAATAGGATACAATCGGTGATAGGCGGGTAGCAAGCGGGCTACTCCTGTTTTAGTTATATATACGCTTCTACATGGGTATTTGATTAGGCAAGAGGTCCTTCCGTTTCGAGTTGCACCTTCCGCTGAGATTGTCTTACACAAAAATGAATCGGATTGCTTTAATAGCGGTGGTTTCGCTTCTTGTACTTTGTGATATTCATGTCGTGGTCGGGCAGAGAGGTCACAGAGGAAACCGGACGAGAGGCTCGATCTGTGGAAGTGGGTTCACATCATCATTGATTAAAGACGCGTGCACAGGTAAGGGTTCATCGTATATAATAGCGATCATATGTAAATCATACTAGATTAAAAACATTTTCATCCAAAATGTTCGACATTCTTGATATAACAAGCACTAATGCAATGATTTACATGAGAACATGTTTCTGTGTCTGTTATAACCTCCCAGATCAAACATATTTGATTTGATCATACACGAGCCACCCAGCCAGCGATTTTCTTGCTCCTACACATGCGTGCTTGTACTCAGTTGAAAACATACAACTATGATATAATATCTTATGCATCTGCGCGCGTCTTGATAAACACTTACAACTTGTGATGAGTGGGGAGCAATCTCAAGTAATAGATTTATTCTAATGGCTTGCTCGGTATATATATTTGGTAATAGTTAATGATATTGTCAGGTATATTGTTGCGTAGATGTGAATGCGTTCTGCTTAGCTTCAGTGGCGTTAATTCGTATGTGCACGCATGAAGCTGATTACAGCGTCACCCGAAATCAAATTGTAAAGACATAGTTCAAATAATTTTCCATCCTTTGCTTGGAACAAAAGCATTATTTGCATTGCAGCAACAATATAAGCTATATAAAGTTAAAGGTTAAATGAATACGTCCGTTATGCGATTCACAAACCCAATGTAACGCTCACCACGGCTCTATGGCGCGGATATGTTTAAAGTGCGTAATCGCATTAAAGTTAATAGATTTTGCATGTTGGTCAATGACCGATGTTAGTAACCTCGTGACCAAGGACATACATGTGTTAAGTGCAGCCTTAATAAATTCCGTAACTCTCGCTTTCATCTATTCCATATAACCTCAGGTACTCATTCTAAATCCTGGAACCTGAATTCGCGCTCGCGCTGAGTAATTTCACGCTCGTGCGATACCACCCTGGGGACAAGGATTGCCAACCGGTTATGACAGCGTTGCCGTGAAAGTGAAAGTGCATTGAACCCCCATGTGGAAATCCTACCCTCATTTACTTTCTGCTCACGACCCTCGTTTTGTTTCGCGTTACCGGCTACGAATTTATATAGGGATGGGTGATGATATCATCATCTCAGAATATGTTACGAGCATCATCTATCATTCGGGTAGCTGTTTGGTTAACTGTGATATCTGTTCACGCGCCAAACGCTGTCTATACAGTGCGTCTGTCGGTTTTCATGCGTGACTTCATACCAAACAACCCACCTGTCTGGCTGTCACACAATGTGTCCACGTGCTTATTCGCGTGATTTGTATCAAATTTACTGTGCAATTATAGAAAAGGGGCCCTCTATAAATACGATGTTGACAGGTCTTGTGTATGCTGCTAATAGGAAGATATGTACACTTAAGTACCAGGTATACGTATAAATTCAATCTACGCGGTTGGGTTCGCCGGTGTTGCCGAATCGCAACTTTAGATGTTATTTGACTAAAATAATGTACGATATATAAAAGAGTTTATAGTATTCATTCATTCAGATATTAGAATTTATAGTATATAATTTTCTGTGGAGTAAATTGAATTTCGCATTATGGCAATAGTGAATGTACGGCAAAAGCATGTAGTGTAATTGCATGGAGATTTGTCAGGAATGTCATGCTCTTATGCGGCGGCTGAGGAATGGCAGGTACCTCTGTTTGTTCGTGGCCATCAACCTCTCACAGATCAACAAGATTACAAGGCGCGGTTCCTTGTTCAACAGTGCATGGCTGCATAACTGCTACCACTTCCCCAAAAAACATATAATGACGGCGCTCAAACAGGGAATCTTATACGTGTGGCGAAAACGGGTGAATGCCCGGTGGTGTCCGGATTCTTAATAGCTCGATCCTTTGTCACGCATTGCAACAGTGAGGCGTGAAGTATACACACGCATATAATATATATATATATATAGACATATATATATATACATATATATATATATATATATATATATATATATATTACATGATATATATAATATATTACATGATATATATTTTTCTTGTTATCACGTAATAAACCCAATCGATACTTTACGATACACACGCAGTAGCTCTTGTTAATTTCCTGCAGTGATTTCCTGTACGAACCATATTATGATGTGTTGTTCAAGTTCAATGCCTTGAAATGTTTTGAATTTGCGCTGGTAGGAATGTAGTGTACTAAGTTGTGTGATTATTTACTCCTGATGTAATGTAGATTATACGCATGAAAAATCAAACTATAGTCAATCACGCTTTTTAGCAAAATTAATGCATATGAAAACGGTTCCCATGACATTTTGTCGCGTTTATAATTGCAGACATCGACGAGTGCGATGAAGGTGAGGACGACTGCGACAAAAAAACTAGCCGATGTGTGAATACAGCCGGCAGTTATGAATGCAAGTGTTTGCGCGGTTACGGTGATTACGAAAACAATGGAACGCATTGCGAAGGTAACATAACGTCATGTACTATCTTTTGATATTATTATTATTTGCACGTTTACGTCTGACAGTGACAATGATAAAGTATAACGTTGACAAATCAAATGTGAACTTTAGTCTTTACCATTAGTCGCGTGGTTAACCGTTATTACTGACTACTGATTACAGGGATCATTTGTCATGCAAAAGGAGTTGTATCGATTGTCATCAACTGCAACTTATGATGCAGAGGCCGGTTCAGGGCCATACATGCTTTATGCTGTTTCTTTGATTCTTTTCAGATATTGATGAGTGTGCAGAAGAGACGGATAACTGTGACAATAATGCTCGCTGCATCAACACGGTTGGAAGCTTTGCTTGCCGGTGCATTACCCCGTTCTTTGTTGGTGATGGAATTCAGTGCTCCGGTAAGGTCACTAAAGAGCAGTGTCCTTTGTGAATGTATGTTGTGGATGTGTCCTGTTGATGTTTTGTGCATTATGTATCTTAATTCCACATTTCTTTTTCCCAATATCTTTTCATTCAACTAAACACTTATTCATTATAAAATTTTTCTCCTCTGAACTGATATAAATAGTGCGTAGTGCATGCTCATACCTACATTAGTGTTGTCGTAAACATATGATATTAAGTGTAGGCTTACATGGCTGAACTAATTTAGAATTATATGGTTCAATGTATAAAATAGATTTCATAAATTGCTTATTTATGAGACATGTTTCTCCAGCCATATAGTGCGTGTCATAAAGTGAGAGTATAACGTGCCAGTAGGTCATGGACCCTAACCAACCAGATTTGCTAACATTAGCATAAACGAAAGTGACTCATGCCTGATTCAATCTGATTTTCCAACCTACTAGGTATTTTCATGTTTTTTCTCACATACCGTACTATTTAAAGTGCAGTACTGATCTATTGTGTGTGTACATCGTTTAAATACACACAACCAGCTAACATTTAGATAAGATTGTGCAATGAACTATTGTTTCTGGGGTTTATTGTGCTGCCACTACTCCAGTGAGATTCTACTGTCATATAGCTGCAGGGCATGATAAGTAAACCAGTGTGTTAACCACTGAACCCCAGAAATAGAGATGAATGACACTGCCTGACCAACAGGTTCTGTCACTTTCACTTCTCTGTCATCACCTAGCTAGGGCCAGGCTGCTGCTCTGTGAGTTGCCGTCTACAGTTTAGGGTAGCAGAAGAGGCATGTTGCTGGGCAGGATGTGAATTCACCTCTGGGATTACACCCGTTACAAGTGTAAGCTCTGCACAACAGGTAGCTGAGTGTAGGCAGGTCCTTATAGGTGCATTGTTAGGGTCATGCTTTGTGTCCGGGAAAGTGAGCGATTTTATTTTGACAAACAGGTGTCTATATCCTCACAGCATACTGCAGTCCATGGGCCAGTAGCAAGAATTTGAGGTTGTTTTGGCTGTTCACCGAACAGGTTCTCACACAGTGTCTCACACTGATTGCTGACTGTAGACAATGAAATAAGTCTCACTCGCCTAATGATACAGGCAACCATCTGAGTTCCTGCTCATGAATATTCCCTGTTTTACACCTTTGTGGTCTACTGTGTTTACACAATCAGCTATATATGAGCTGCTATGGGATAGTTAGAATCTCTGTACAACCATAAAGGATGTTAATAGGATGTTTAGTTGGTTGATTGTATTAATGATGAATAAGACTAGACCTGATCCAATCTAGTATTTTTGATTACAGTTATAAGTTAAGTGTATCACAATTTTCTTAAATGCGTTTGGTAAGACTAATAGTTTGTTTGTTTTTATTTGTTTAGATGTGGATGAATGCACTGAACTAGACTCAAATCCTTGTGGAACAGATAGGATTTGTATCAATATAGATGTTGCACCTGGATACATTTGTGCATGTAGGTCATTCAGTAGTGATGTCACGATCATCGATTATACTCGATCATCGGTTGAACAGTGGCTTGAACCAAGCGCTTAGTGATGTCACGATCATCGATTATACTCGATCATCGGTTGAACAGTGGCTTGAACCAAGCGCTTGGTTATCAAAATACATAATCGATTTCATCGGGAAAAAAAAATTATAAAAAAATCGAAATAAATGTGTTACATTTGTGCATGTAGGTCATTCAGTATCAAGACCATAATTTGATCCCATGTTAAACTAATTTACATGGGTTCCATTTTTAAATGAAATTATTTGGTTGTGCTAACTGGTTTTGATCCGCATCAAGTTTGATGTTAAAATTTAAATCACACATTTTGACATGGATGCTGCGAATGCTAAATTGCAGAGCATGGAAGTGTCAGTATATATAACACAATCACTGATTCAAAAGGAATTTTCCAGGAATGTGCATTTATTTCATGAGTATTACAGAGTCCAATCAAGGGTTGTGTAATACGGTACCCGACATATGTTTACAGTTAGACCTCGATTATCCGAACGAGACGGGCAGGGAGTATTTTGGGCGGATAACTGATTGTTCGGATAACTAATCTGAGCGTAAATCTTAAATCTAAATCCTAAATTATTGATAACATCTGAATAGTGGGTGACCCAACGGGTCACGGGTGGTCTAGTGGCGTATTAAATATTCACAGAACCTTGAGATCTTGTTCGGATAATTGATGTTCGGATAACCGAAGTTTGACTGTATAGGATTAGACTAATGCACACACATGAAATGAGTGTATATGAGTGACCATAATGTTATTTGTAAATTCCTGTGTCATTGTAGCGGGAGGAGATAGTTGTTAACAATCTTATCCCTTGCCTTTGTAGCTGACACAGACGAATGTGAGAAAGACAATGGAAGATGCCCAGACGATTCTATGTGTGAGAACTACATTGGCGGCTTTCGTTGCCTTTGTGACAAGCCAGGTTACCACACAGATGGCTTCAATGAAACCTGCACAGGTAGATGCTTTGTGGCAGTGAAAGCACCAATAATTAATTTCTTTTTGCTGTAAACGTACTTGCCCATCATAAATGGAGCCTGGCCAACCATTGTGTTAGCCTGAACATTCACTATATATAAATAAGATGATATATGCATATTACTAGATTATATGTTTTAGCAAATGGAGAAAAATGGAGATCTCTATTATGTACTCTTGATATTAACAAGTAAGAGTAAACAAGTAACAAGTTAACAATCGTGCATTTTATGGAGTATGTAGAGCTGCGATTTACAGGTGAGAATTCTGTACTGCCACCATAACTTAGCAGTGTGAGTGATTTTCAGATATTGATGAATGCAAAATGAACGTGACACTATGCGATCCTAATGCCTTTTGCTTCAACACCGATGGCAGCTTCTTTTGTGAATGTGCGGCAGAGTTCTGGAGAGGCAATGGGATTGTTTGTTCTGGTAAGGCTTGACCTGCTGCAGTTTAACATTCAAGGTCCTGTTTTTTTAGCTCAGCTGACGAAGTCAGATGCAGCTAGTAGAATCGCATGATTGTCTGTCCGTGCGTCCGTCTGTCAATAGTTTTGCACAAATCTTAACCGCTCGGCGTACGGTCTTGATATTCGGGACATCGTGGGGATCGCAAAAAGGACTCGGGATGTCGAATTTGGGGGGGTCAAGGGTCAAAGGTCAAGATGTGTCAATGGAGGGGGAATATTTTCCCCTTAACTTAAGGTATAGGAGGAAATACGGAATTATGGCACAAATCTCAACGGCTCGACCTACGCTCTTAATATTCGATGTATAGTGTGATGGGGAGGAAACCCATCACTAGCGCGAAATTGGAGGTTACAAATCAAAGGGCAGTGGGGGAAAGGTCGGATATCAGACATTTTCTGAGGGCCTGGTCTAACGGACCGAGTGCAAAACCTTTTTGTTTCAGCGGTGACCTATCATTTTTATCACTTTATTGAAAGGACCATGAAATCTACTTTCCGCTGACGTGCGAAGAGTAAGTGTCTGATAACCTTTTGACCCTCAAAGGAGGGTTAAACATGGATTTGTTGACTATTAACAAAGGACTGAACTGCTTTTGCTATTAGAGCCCCCTCCACCTGCCCCTCCCCCACCCTCCCCCTCGACCCTTCCCCCACCACCACCACTACGCTCGACGCATATCCATGATAACGTTAATATAGCGAAGTCATTAAAGTTACACAGCTGTATCTTTATTACTGTACTACCAGTAGGTATAGCAAAGCCTATCATAGATTTTAGATCTGTATTAATAGTATCCTAGATATATGCTCTGAGCGCGAACGCGGTGGCAGGAGGGCGCACTTGATTTGGTTGCCAGTGAGTTTATCAGAAGAATACCTGGCTACAGTACACGTCAGTTGAGCGCTGTCGCTCTGTGGCACTTGTTTTGTAATTTTCATGTAACGTGATGTGGATTTCATAATGACTTGTAAAATGGACAAACAGCGGTTCTCGACTGTGTTTCATTGTAATGACTGTTCTACAAGGCTGCAGCTATAATATATATTAAAGGACCAGTCCTAGTGGTTACAATCTGATTTACACCTTTTGTAAATCGAAATCTATACAATCACCCTTTTTTATTCATAATTTTTTTTAATCTTTTAGATGTCAATGAATGTTTGGAGGGAAATCCTTGTGGACAGAATCAGGAATGTGTCAATATTGTGGGTCCTCCTGGTTACAAGTGTAACGTCATTGGTAAGTAATTTGCACATGTAGCTTATAGTTTATGAAATGTGAATTTTAATTTCTAGTTTAATATGCCAGGTGTAGGTTTGCCTTTCTATTGTGTGTTGTGAAATTTATTAAATGATTGATACTATAATGTAACGTATTATAGCTTACTGTAAATTATAGAAAGTTCTTTCACGTTTACGCTAACTCATTCATTTGTTTACCTTAAAGAATGTTTTCAAAAATTTTAGGTGATATTTTTGCAGGCCTTTTAAGTAAATCACGTGACCTCTTGCCTGCTTGTGCTTGACCTGCCTTTTCACATGTATCTACCTTTTAAATTTTTGATATATATATTTTTCTCCCTAATATGTGATGTTTTTTGTGCCAACAGATGAAGATGATTGCAGATTGAATGAGGATATTTGCAATGAAAATGCAGTGTGTTCTCAGATTCAGGAAAGGAATATAGACACCTATAGATGCAGTTGTCTTCCAGGTTATACTGGAGATGGAATCAATTGTCGTGGTGAGTGCAAGATTTTTATTACCCGCACAGTTTTTATATAAAGTGTGGTCCTGCTATTGAAATTATAATTATGGTGTTAATATTATTAATTAATAGTCGTAATAATTATACTAAATACAAAAGTATAATATAATATATTATCTTAAATATAACAGGTATGTAATATGTAAATTTATATACATGTTAAAAATGTTTTGATATATTACGATTTGACTCCGGTGTATTTTGACATGCAGTAAACGATCAATCTATCCTTGGCCTTGGTCCTGATCATGAAGGGTTGGGGTGCGATACACTTCCATTTTAATTCACGCTGAGGGGCTTGATCTCCCTATATTTTCTGAGCTAAATTAATTGCGCTAACAATAGGTGCCCAGCTGACACATAACGTTTCCACAACGTTGCTAGAATATTGTAGTTTGGTTATGTCAGGAATAATGTGTCTGGTGTCTGATGGTGTACTGCCCCGTTTGCACTTTGATATCTGTTATAGCTGTTATATCTCGTCGTTGCAGATGTTAATGAATGCAAGAATGAACACGTTTGTGATGTCGAGACCTCTACCTGTGAGAACACGGATGGCAGCTTCTTGTGCGCGTGTAATGTTGGATACAAATCCGATCCTAACGATGACACACAATGTAGAGGTAAATTCACAACTTTTTAAATTCAACACGGGAATATTACAGTTGTTCATGTTGTTCGTTTGAGACTTAGATTTGGTGAAATGGAGCAGATAATTTATGGACAGCTCATCGGACTTAGACTGAATATTAACAGCTTACATGGCTTAGGCCCTTATTTTTCATACATGTGGAAATTTATCACATATTGATAGGTGATATCTAATATTGAATCTAATCTATTGCATGTCTAAACTTTTAGATTCGAATGAGTGTGCAGTGGGTATGTCGTACTGTCAACCTGAGGCCGAGTGCGAGAATTTGGTGGGAAGCTTTGAATGCCACTGTAACAAGAAAGGCTTCGAGGGTGATGGGGAGTACATGTGTAGTGGTGAGTATGATTGTGATCACTGTGATCAGTGTGATGATGTTCATTAGAATGATGACCTTGATTAAAATAACATTTATGGTGTATCGATTAGGAAGTTTTTAAGGAGGATTGGAGAACTATTATGACGAAAATTATATGGAAAAGATTGATATCGTTGATATCGTCAATATTGATATTGTTGATATCGAAAAAATGTTTAAAAATACTAAAAAACTTCATAAAGGAATCTTAAGTGAGACCCCTGCAAAAATAGCAATTGTACGCATGAATGCACACGCACACTTACAATCAGCCTTTACAAATACATGCATATCTTCCCCTATAGTGAAGCAGTTTTTTTTATACTATTGGCAGACATGGATGAGTGTTCAACTGGCCTTGCAAGCTGTGACATGTATTCTACAATCTGTCGGAACTCTGATGGGAGTTACAGCTGCGACTGCCAACCAGGATTTAACCGAGTTGATCCATCCACTTGTAAAGGTTTGCATTTGATAGCCCAGATCTATCTGTATACGGGCAATACCTAAATTTTAGACTGAATATATTCTTTTTTTAAACTGTCTGTTTAGACATGTTAGATATGCGAAGTTAGCACGAAAATCTTCAAAGTTTTTCATTCCTCCCTTTAGATATTGATGAGTGTAATGTTGGATTGGACAACTGTGACCCACAGAAAGGTCACTGCCTGAACATCATGGGTAGCTTCCTATGCACGTGCATTAGGCCATACTGGACTGGAGACGGTGTTCACTGCTCTGGTGGGTTGCTTTTGCGATTAAAGCTTTGCGCATAAGAGAATTGGTTGTTAAGACAATGCTTGGGCAAGCGTAGCATAATTGCAGCTAATATATTTCAATGATATATGAGTAGTTGTATCACTCTTGCTCTTCGTGCATCTTGCTTCTGCAGATTGTCTTGCTCGGCATTTTCCTATAGCGTTTTATTTTTCACTCGCTCATGCTTCAGTCTCTAACCTCTTTCCTCCTTCCATATCTCTTTTGTGTTCATTCTAACAATAGCAGCAATTTTTCAGTCGTATGCTAAATCCCTCACACATCCTGGTTCATGACACTCTCGCCCTGCCTATCCTTAGTAAATCCTTTATGAACGTCTTCACTGTTTGTTAAATATCGCTTGCACTGACCCCAGACGTGGACGAGTGTGAGCTAGGCGAGCACGTGTGTGACCCGGATACGACTACTTGTGAAAACATGGACGGCAGCTTCAAGTGTGCCTGTAACGAGGGTCACCGACGCCTCAACCGCACTCACTGTCCAGGTATGTCAAACATGCTGTCCATGTATGTAAAACGTGCTTGCAAGCTATGTAAAGCGTGCTGTCCAGGTATGTCAAACGTGCTGTCCAGGTATATAACACATGCTGTCCAGGTATGTCAAACGTGCTGTCCAGGTATGTCAAACGTGCTGTCCAGGTATGTAAAAAGTGCTGGCCAAGTATGTAAAAATGTGCTGTCAGGTATGTCAAACATGCTGTCCAGCTATGTAAAACGTGCTGTCCAGGTATGTAAAAATGTGCTGTCCAGGTATGTCAAACGTGCTGTCCAGGTATGCCAAACGTGCTGTCCAGGTATGTCAAACGTGCTGTCCAGGTATGTCAAACGTGCTGTCCAGGTATGTCAAACGTGCTGTCCAGGTATGGAAAACGTGCTGTCCAGGTATGTAAAACGTGCTGTCCAGGTATGTCAAACGTGCTGTCCAGGTATGTAAAACGTGCTGTCCAGGTATGTAAAACATGCTGGCCAGTCGTCTTCTGATCCACGTCATCTACGCTGGTTTGTTACTGGAGGAATATCGCATGTCTCATTTAAGTCTGATGTCGCATAATTATATTTCCTAGTCTATTTAATTAATTCAGCGGTTTGATTTTGCATTTTCCACGTAAGTTGAAGTGACAAGCATTTACTCAACTTGTTATCTAGGTATTTGCAATTAGTAGTTATACCAGTCTGGGTTTATAAGAAGCTGTACAATATTTTTTGGCAATTTGTGTAAATATTCGGCTGAAGAAATTAATTGAGTTGTGATCATGATTCATTATGCATGTACAATGATAGTGGTGCAAACTACTGTTCAATAAAATAGTACCCATCAATGCCTACAACTAGAATGCACAGAATGTATAGAAATTTCTCGGTTTATTTTTTTGATTTCTCATTGATTTGTACGTGGGACAACTTTCCTTTCGTTAAGAGACTGACCATCTCACGTATGCTCTGTAGCAACCATAAATATGTTGACACTATTGCGGATTTTATGTGACTGTGAGGGTTCACCACTCCCTAGGTCTGTGATAGACAGCGTATTTGGAAGAGAGTGATTCCTTTCTTTGTCTAGTGGATATTTGCTGTAATGGATAATAGTACCATAGAGCAGAAACAGGTATACTCGGTATGTAAATTGATCTGCTGGATCCATTACAGATGTAAATGAGTGTGATATGGCTGCACGCCAGAGATGTGACAGTCACAGTACACGCTGTGTGAACAGCGAAGGCTCCTTTACTTGTGAGTGTATCGAAGGCATGGAGCGATTAGACATCTCCACATGCAGTGGTGAGTGCATTTGCTGTTAGTGCTTTTACACTGTAATTGGCAATTGCTAGATGCAAGTTTATGTTCATGATGTTATATTCATTATAAGCTTAATCTGTGATAGCCAACCCTCTTGTTTTTATTATAGTAGTTGTGTTATGTTGGATGATTTTTTAATTATCTTATTATTTTTTTAAATTACCATGAAGAAAGAAGAAAATCCACATATTTGTGTATAAAATTAAAATGATGAAAATCACCAATTGGGAAAAAATGCTAATAGCAGGCACATGTGAAAACTATTGTATAGTGCTCTATAAAGTTTTATTTATAGATGAACACGTAAGTTGCCTGTTTCAGACTTTGATGAATGTGAACTGAAGTTGGATAATTGCAACAAAGATGCAGAATGCACTAACATAGAGGGAAGTTTCCTTTGTGGTTGTTCGGCTGGTTTTGCTGGAGACGGAATTGTTCTCTGTGATGGTGAGTTGTGTCTATTTCACCATAACTGGCTAATAACTTAGTAAATGATAGGTGAAGCCAAGTACCTGTATAAAATCGAATGTGTTGATAACTCGTCATCCGTCAACTGGTCTAATAATTTCTACTGTCACTTATATATTAGTTTAACTGTAATAACAGTGTAGCATGTGAACAAAAGCAGTCTGTGGCAAATATTACCAATGTGTAAATAATGTTAAGGGGTGGAACCATTAAATGTTAAAAGGGAATAACACTGGGAGTTTGTAAGCACAAAATGACATCTGAGCAATGTGGAGTGTGGGATAGATATTAGGAAAAAAATTACTTGCAAACAATGTGTTAGGTGGGAATGTCACAAGGCTGGAATGTCACGAGAGTTATGTTATCTGTTATGTGTAACGTCTATTAATTCTGTACAGATACGAATGAGTGCGAACTTGACGGAGAACACTGCGACCTAAGGACTAGTGAATGTAAGAACGAGGTTGGAAGCTACAGGTGCCCGTGCCTGGGCGGATTCACAAGAGTTGATGAAAAGGCTTGCAGAGGTAGGTTTGCCAAAATATTTCAGTAGTTGAGCAATGTTTAGTGATGAATGTTTCTGTTGAAACTTAAATCATATTCCTTTAATATATGTTCGAAGAGAATTTAATATAATACCTTGTTAGTTCTTGATCTGGTTTTCTTAAGTAGCAATATTCACAAGAGAAAAGGGTATTTGTCATTTTTTGGGCAGTGTATAACGGTAGTATATGTGGAACATGGTGGTAGTTTTGTGTATTTGGTGTAATGCCGGTTGTGGTTATAACTATAGTATGACATCTTACCATTGCTATTGCAGATTTTAACGAGTGCAGTGCAAATGTGGATCTGTGTGACGCTATCTCAACAAGCTGCTCTAATACACAGGGTTCATACGATTGCCCTTGCCTGCCAGGATTTGATCGAGTGAATAGAACCCATTGTAAAGGTAGAACAAATTTCTCCATAAGGTTTGCCAATTATAGCCACGTTCACACGTAGCAAGAAATTTAGTATTTAGTGTTCACGAGGCAAAATGCGCGGTCCAAGAAATACGGAATCTAAATAGATTCGGTATTTGTTGAAATACGCGGCTTCCCAGATGCCGAATTATTTGCCGTGCTTGAGAAATTCCGAATCTTTTGGACCGCGCATTTCTCTCGTGTGAACGCTAAATATCGAATTTCTGAAGCCGCGTATTTTATAGACTGGTCCGCGCTTGACAGTTTTAGTGTAACGCGAGTGGAACTGTCGAGCGCGGACCAGTCTACGTATTTTATCGGCAGTTGGTGCGCATTGCATTGTTTATTTCGCATTGTTTGCTTGATTGTTTGCTTGGACGCATTGTTTTTTTTCAGTGTATTAAAGCAGCTCGCAGCTCGCAAATACGGCATTTCTGGAGCCGCGAATCAGCGTGTGAACGCTCGGTCGCGAATTTGTCTCAGATTCGGTATCTCGCTAATACCGTATTTCATAAATACGGAGTGTGAATGCAGCTAATATACGCGCCATAATATTAAAATGCTCTGTGAGGATAACATGTCTTAAATATTCCTGAACGTATTTCATCACGTGAATGGTGCTTATACAAAATTTGTGTAAAAAAACCAAACTCATTTTGGAAGACATTTCACGAAATTTGATGCTTGATGTTTTAAATTATGTTTTAAATTAAAAAAAACATGTTGTCATGGACATCTGTAAATCGCATAATTTTGTATAATGTCCTGTTTTCAGATTACAATGAGTGCGAGGAGAACAAGCATAACTGCCATAAAGAAGCTAAGTGTCGAAACGAAGAGGGTAGTTTCACCTGCGACTGTGAGAAAGCAGGATATGTTGGTAACGGCGTGGAGGCTTGCAGCGGTGAGTGCAGAGTGCCGCACAATTCGGAGTGATTGTTTGAAGCCATGGAATGGGTAGTAATTAATGGTGCCATCTGTGATTGTGTCCCTGGTTGTGTGGTCGGTTTTAGTGTTACAAACTCAATATCTGCCTGTTATAGTGTGTGACTGGCTTGTTTGGCATGAATTTCAAGCTTATGTAAGATATATATGTGTGAAAAGCACATCTTGCAGGTATAAATGAGCAACTAACAGCGAACATGCTATATTTGATGGACTTAGAGCAATATGTGCTAAACAGTTATGGCACACAGCATTATTGTCTGCTGGGCAAAAGCTTATAGTTCTCAAAAAGAGAAGGTGAGGGGGAGAGAGGGAAAGACTAAGATAAACCACCACGCAGAGATGGCATGAACACACGCATAAGGTTACACGGCTACTAGATTAAATGCTATATGGTTGTGATTTTGCTGATGTTTTCGCCGTTCGAGCAGACGTCAATGAGTGCACCCTGGGTCTGGACAAGTGTGACGATGATACGACCTTGTGCCGTAACGTGGATGGTAGCTACGACTGTCGCTGCCGTAAAGGGCATAGTAAGGTGAACGACACATACTGCAAAGGTGAGTTTGCTTCTTTCTCCATTCATGTTCGCTTGTTTTACAATCGTTTTCGTTCTAAGTATCGGGTGTTATGGACTGTCTAGTTTATTCTTTGATTACTATGTTTTTCGTGCAATCTTACAAGATAACAGACTGCCACTGTCGCGAGGAATTGTAAGTCGAGAGTTTTGAGACGTGATCATGATGGACGTCGCTTTGTTGTTGTTTTCAGATAATAATGAATGTAAGGAGAACACGGACGACTGCAACGAATCATCAACGCGATGCGTTAACACGGTGGGAGCGTACAGGTGTGAATGTTTACGTGGCTTCAGTAATGACACGGCCACCGCATGTGCAGGTGAGTTCAGGTTTCTGTAGTGTAGTCAATGTGTTGTGGTTTACTTACTGCAATCTTTTATATAAGCACACTTTATCACAGTATGGTCTATACAACACTTATATGGTCTATACAACGGTAATAATAAACATCCGGATCTTAGAGCTGGTGTGATGAGCAGAAAGAGACTTGTTTAGTTGAGTGTCCAGAGGCAAGAGCCCACAACACTATAGTTTCCACCTGGTTGGCCTTAAAAAATCTTGTTTTCTATAACCTGGCCGCGAATCCATCAATGTCGCCAGAGCTAGGAATATGTCATCAGTCGTTATTGATGAATAATTAAACTTGTTACGTCTTCAAGCAAAGTATCTGTTAGGAATGGCTTTCAATTCAACGCCAGTTAAATTTCCAAGCAGGGATAAAAGTCACTGACTATGTGTTTCTATTTTGCCCTGCAACATGGATCATGCTGGTTTCTGAAATCATATATAATATTTAAGTTAAATGGGGCTTTGATACCTGAAATCTTAAAAAAACGATAAATCGGTGTAGGATTTCAGTTTTTAGATGCCACTGATATAATAGCACCATTAATCCATGCAGATCTTTTTATTTGCGGCTTTGCCATTGTACTGTCGTGTGTTCACAGACATCAATGAGTGCGTGCAAGGTTCCAACAAGTGCCACCCAGATGGCGAGTGCACAAACACGTTTGGTAGTTACAAGTGCTCCTGCAATCATCTAGGCTATAGGGGCGATGGAATGGCTACCTGTGATGGTGAGCATTAATCTGATTTCATATGTGACGGTGCCGATTGCCGGGCAAAGAGCATTGTGTAGAGTTTTGCATCAAAGTCGAACTGTATTCCGTGATGTTTATATTTTTGATGGCTTCGAACTATTTTTTTGCACAATTTTCTGCGGTTCTGAGGAAATGTTTTTAATGATGTACGTAGCAGTTTCTTTTTCTTTCAGTAATGAATCACAAGCACTATTTTTCGTTGATGTGTTCAGAATGCTAGAATGCACAGCAGCACTTCTTTTTGTGTGCAGATGAAACGTGCTGTTTAAACGATTACTGATTTCTCAACGTTGCGCATGTTGTAGATGTGGACGAGTGTAAGGAGAAAACTGATGATTGTGATGAAGAGACAACAGTGTGTGCCAACCGCGATGGTAGCTTCGCCTGTCTGTGTAAGGCTGGACTTGGAAGACAGAATGACAGATCTTGCATGGGTAAGATGAATACTCAATATGTTTAATATGCTGCCAGTTGTGTAACTCTAGACTTTAAATGTCTGTTGATGGTACAATTCAATAATATTATACTTACGATATATATCTTGTCTGTTAAATCATAAAATTATTTTAGCTAGTCTGGACTGTTGCTTGTAACTTGTTGATGTTGCTGTCTGCATGGAGTTTTGACTTTTAATCTGCACTGCTGTAGCATTTGCCATGTTACATCTGTGGGTGTACCTCCTAGTGTGCAGTAATTATGCGTAAATATTAAAATCTCTGTTGTTATATCGCAGATGTAGATGAGTGTGCTGACCTTCTAGACTTCTGTCATGAGTTTGCGACCTGTGAGAACACCTTTGGTGCCTACAGATGTCTCTGTGAACAGCAGGGCTATACAGGGGATGGCATAGAAGAATGTAGTGGTATGGAATGTTGCATGATCAGTTACAATTTTGTTTCGCGTTGCATATTTTCATTGATATAGACATGTTTATATCTTCTAAAATTTTAAATTAACAGTAGTTGAGGTGTGGATGTTGGGTCGCAGAGTACGTTTTACATAGATACTTTGGTGCATATGCATATATATTGTATACAAACTTTAGTTTGTTGTCTATAGCTTAATTATTTTCTCAGATATAAATGAGTGCTCTGCTGATACACATGATTGCCACCTAGCAAGTGCAGAGTGTGAGAACTTTGATGGCAGCTTCGGTTGCATCTGCAAACTTGGATTCAAGGTTTACAATGATACAACTTGTGAAGGTAGGTGGATGTAACTCATTTGATGAACTTGTCTTGAGTGAGAAAATGTCCTGTCTGCGTTATGCTATTCTTGGTAAGGTTTACTATAAGTAAGACCATTGTCTTTCACGCTTGTAGTACTCAGTTTATTCTTGTTACTTAATATTCTGTTTTTCTGAATCTGGCCATACATAAGCAGATGATTGTAATGTAATTTGAATTTTGCTTTGCTATTCTAGATTTCAATGAGTGTGAGGAGGAAGATGATCATGATTGTGAGACAACTACATCTCGTTGTGTTAACACAGAGGGCAGTTATGTTTGCAGGTGTCTGTCTGGATACAAACGTGTGGACAGTAGAAGTTGTCTTGGTACGGAATTTCACTAGTAGATGTTTGTAATTTAACACTTCATTATTCTTACATACGTACATTATTCTCCGGTTGCGTTTCCTCGATTCAGCATTTACTTGATAAAAGCTCTGGTGTTTTATTAAGAAGATGTTCCATTGCTTTTTTTCCAGATATTGATGAATGTGAGATAGGTACAGACATGTGCGATTCCACTAGTACTAGGTGCAGGAACACTGATGGCTCATACGACTGCAGATGCAAGAGTGGATTCAGCAATGGGAACAGAACGCACTGCATAAGTACACACTATTCTCTAACATTCTTTAGGGATGAAACGTAAAACTGAAGAGCGTATCATTTAGCTGCAATATATTGTAAATATAGGAATGAGCCACATATGGTATGCAAAGTTGTGACCACATGCGGTGATGTTCTGTATGGTATGTTGTAGGCAAATCTTCAGTAATGCATAATAATAGTGACTATACACATTTGTGAAAAAAGAATAGGCTGCTTTTATCATGCGTAATTGACTCCAGTTGCTGCAATTAACTCCCTCCCAGTCCGTTCCCTATCCGTCCACAAACGACATTGCCTTCTGAAATTCCCGGGGAGAACCCTTTATAAACTAGTATATTCTACGTCAGCATTAAATCCCTGCCATCTGCAGATGAGGACGAGTGTGCGGACGGAACTCATACTTGCCATGAGGTTGCCGAGTGTCGCAACACAGTGGGCAGCTACAGTTGCGAGTGCGATCGCCCTGGCTACGGTGGAGACGGCGTGGCAGACTGCAGTGGTGAGTGGCGGGGCTATGTTCTAGGCTAGGTCCAGACCTGTCACTTAAGGCCCCCGCACATGGTGCGCATTCGGCGCTGCGCAATATCTATCATGTTTGATTTTTCTGGCTCAGCGCTGTTGGCGCGCGCCGAATGCGCACCGTGTGTGGGCTGGTTTACGTGCGCAGATGGCGCACGCGTTTAGCTCAGCGGCGTTGGCGCGCACCGAATGCGCACCGTGTGCGGGCTGGTTTACGTGCGCAGATGGCGCACGCGTTTAGCTCAGCGGCGTTGGCGCGCACCGAATGCACATCGTGTGCGAGGGCCTTTACACTTCCTTTGTTTTTCTCGTGCAGTGTGAATACGTGCACACATTTTTACATTAGATTTTGTTCACCCGAGCAGTAATGTTTTAATTGATCGCATAAGCTATTACGCATTAAAAGTCGCTATGATGTGGATATAATCATCGCAGGTGTGTACTATTACGCACATGGCAAGGACCTGTCCAGTTTTATCTCTAGCACTTAGTTGATGGCATATATTAAACCGTCTATATATCATTAGGATAGGATTGTATAGACAAGGTTTGTATAGTATAGTATAGGATATATCACACGTAGTGATTTACTTCTGTATACATTGAAAGTAATATTTTGATTGTTTGTTTTAAAATATGAGTATTAGATAGCGACATTGTCTTATTAGTGAGAATATAACACAGGTAAAGCACTGATTAATGAAGATGAAATTAGTATGTGGTGGTATATATACTTATACATTGGCACTCACGCTAGGTTACTTTTATATGTTGTATGCCTGTAACTAATCACGTTTGTAAAATGGCTTCATACAGACATCAACGAGTGCATCGCAGAAACACATCTCTGTGATCTCGAATCGACTAACTGCGAGAACAGAGATGGAAGTTACGTGTGCTCATGCTTGGACGGCCATGATCGTCTAGACAATAGAGCATGCCTTGGTGGGTTTTGTCACGATAAAGTGTAGATGATTCGTTGTTATTTGCAAAATGCTTACGTACATATAAATTATGCATACCCATATTCACGCACACACACTTGAATTCATATTGGCAAACATGGCACAACTTACGTAGAAAAGCAATTAACAAATAATACTTTTAATACAGTCACTATGAGATAACAAATGTATCTAGGGATCGATATATATAATTATATTTACCTTACTTATATATACCTATATGTCTTACATATACTGCTTGTATTGCTACAAGAAATAAAAGTAAATTAAGTATAGAATCACTGTTTATAACAACATGAATATTTACAAGACACTAGTATGAAAACAAGATAGACTCGAGATAAGAACTTATATTTATAATAAGTTATTATATTATTATAATATATTATAACTTATGTTATATACATTGTGTCTCTCTAACCTGTGGGATCTTATTTTATTCCCTTTATGTGCTTTCAGACCGTAACGAATGCGCCGTGAAAAATGGTGGCTGCCACAGAGATGCCGCATGTGTAAACATTCGTGGTGGTTTCTTTTGTGAATGCGATAAGCGAGGCTATGTAGGGGATGGAAAAGCTACATGCAGCGGTAAGTTTGTAAACACAATATGGCTCACACACATGCACAAGTTTCCATAGAAGTGTATCTATGTGTCTTAACCAAAGCTGTGCACTCACTCAATTCCTTTTTTTTTGCAGCGAAGTACGTGTGACCAGTTTATATCATGTAGTGATTTCCTCGTCTAATGCTAGGCATCTCTGCTTGCAGATATTGATGAGTGTGAACTTGAGCTGGACAGGTGTGATGATGATACGACTGTGTGTCAGAACAGAGATGGCAGCTACCGATGCTCCTGCACCTGGGGTCACACCCGCATAAACAGCCGGCTGTGCAAAGGTGAGTAAGACGAGCGACATCAGGAGCGTATAATGACAAAAAATTTGTCATTATACGCTCCTGGCGACATGTATAAGGCTAAGCTCATCGAGTTTAAACTTTGCCTCAACAAGCACTCCCATTACTGTAAACTGGCATGATTCAGTAATATAATAAGTGCTGCTGGGAAGCTCAATTCTGAAAGAAGATGGTTATGTTGATGATATTTTACAAGCTGTGTTACTGTAATGCTGAATCTTAAGCACGTTGTATTTACCAATCAGAAGCATCCCTACACTGTAAAGTGGTTCTTTCTGTAGCTTTCCTGAGTGAGAATAGATGTCGAGTGATCACACGCATTTATTAGCATTACTTTACAGCTTTTAGCTCATAAGAAATAAGAAATGAATGAAGAGCAAGAAATAAATGTAATTTGTTGTTTGTTGCAGACCAGGATGAATGTGCGTTGGGAAGAGACGATTGCATGGATGTTGCTGAATGTGTGAACACTGTTGGAAGCTTTATGTGCCGGTGCAATGTAGAGGGTACAGTACACAGATGCTATGATCCATTACTCGTGTTACCACAAGAATGAATCGTAAATAAATACGATCCATCATAACTGAACATTTAAAAAACAGATTATAATACACAATTTATAGTGATATTATAATCTGTTTTTTTTTTAATATACCACTGTGTAGCTATTACTGTAAACTGACATGATTCACAGTAAGTGCTGCTTGTAAAGAAGCTCAAGTCTTAAAGGAGATGGTTATCCTGGTCTTTAGTATAGGTACTACTTTGTCAAACAGTATAGGATGCCATGCAGAATGTATTTCTGACTGTGCGTGGGTGTTTTACTGTTGTGTATAGGATATGGTGGTAATGGAGTGGACACATGCAGTGACATTGACGAGTGTGATTCAGGACTCAACAGTTGCCACGAAAATGCTCTCTGCGTCAACAGCGATGGCAGTTATGCCTGTAATTGTGATAAAGCGGGCTACAGTGGAAACGGAATCGACGATTGCACTGGTAGGTAGAAAAAAAGCTGTAAAGGAACACAAATGTTGCTCCTTGTTAGCGTAATTGTAACCATATGTACGCGCTTATATGTACTAAATGTACTATGTGACACGTTGATGAAATGAGCGGTAAAAAATATTCTGTTTTTGTTTGTTCAAAGATCTGAACGAGTGTGAAGAGGGGGTAGCCGCATGTAATGGAGAGAGCACTGTGTGTGAAAACACGGATGGAAGTTACAGCTGCGAGTGCATTGAGGGCCATCAGAAATTGAATGCCAACACTTGTGAGGGTAAGTAAGCTGTACTGTGTTGTTCGTTGAGCCTTTTATTCTATTTTATGTACGGAGATTCCTCACAGAATGTCTGGACAGATGTGGCCTCTACCTTCACAGTTATTGGCAGAACTGATCAAATTATATGCAATTGAACAAAATATTTTTTGCCAGTGTACAATTTTACACCATCTGCTGTGGCCTTCTCAAACTTTGTTTGCATTTGTTTCATATATTTGTAGATATAGACGAGTGTGCCAGCAGCGACTTGAACCGTTGCCATGCCAACGGTCGCTGCGAGAACACAGTCGGCAGCTACAAATGCTCCTGCAACAGAAAAGGTTATCGAGGAAACAGCATTGACACGTGTGACGGTGAGAGAATAATCGTTCTCCATGACATGATATGTAGCAACTCGATGGGGGTAACAGTACAGTAGAAATTGTAAGCTCATGTGCTCAGGGTCCTTGCAAGCCTGTGTCATTCTAAAACCTGTAAAGGAGACCGGATGGGAGCGTAAGTTCTGCCGTGTTCATTTCAGACATTGACGAATGTGAGGAGGGCAGGGATAAGTGTGACACCGAGACAAGCAACTGTGAGAACACGGAGGGCAGCTTCCGCTGTGCGTGCCTGGATGGCTTCACACAACACAACGATACCAGCTGTGATGGTATGAAGCTCAGAAGATCTTTTCTCTCGTAACACGGGCGATAGTGCTGCACAAAGCTACGTTAATACTCATTCATGTTATGTGCGGTAGTACACTGCTCTTATATGTTAACAATAACGTTAATGATTTCTAGTTTAGGGTTAGGCACATATCTTGTATCTATTTATATGAATTGAATGCAGTAAGTAATATCTATGGTAGTGAACGTGTTGTGCCTCATCTGTTGTCTTATGTTGATTTTTTGCAAATTCAGATATTGACGAGTGTAGGGGAGACAATGGAGACTGTCATCGCAATGCGTTCTGTTTCAACACGTTTGGCAGCTACATCTGCCAGTGTGTCACTCCATTCTACCGGGGCAATGGAAAAACTTGTGACGGTGAGTGCAATGTACCCAAATGCTATGCTAAGATCATTTATCCAGCAGCGTTGTTTTTTTGCAATGTATAGTCAAATCTGTGTAACTCTTATGAAATCCATGAAAATAGATTAAACATGGTTACATTTCATACTGATAAGAGGTGGTGTAACAGTTAATGATGTGCACATTCTAAATAATTTAATTAACAGACGTGGACGAGTGTGCAGAAGGGGAACATGACTGCGACGGCAGAACAGCAACATGTGGGAACTCGCCTGGCGGGTACGAATGCGGCTGTCTCCCTGGATATTCTCCATACAACCTCACAACCTGTACAGGTAAGGCCATAATAAAAATATTGTTTGTTTGCCCTCACCTGACCGACCCGCCAAAAAGGGGCCGACTCAAACAATTTTATTTATCTCTCCCATTCTTTTTTTTTTTTACAAATTGTATCACTGCATGTACATTATATAAATCTGTAGGCAATACATTATAATATGTACCAAGCAAAACAAACATTCAACATAAAAGATATCTCCACACAAGCACACCCGGGCATGTAGACACCATGCTGAATTTGTAAAAAGACCCCCCTCAAAAAATAAAAAAATAAAAAGCCTACCTACCTACCCAAACTTTTCAGCCTGGGTCGGATAGATTTTTTTAATTGTGGCCTAAGTGATCGACCGTGTAACACAGAAACCACGATCTCCCATTTTCCTTCTGCGAGTACATGCACCTATCGTGTGCTCTGCCACTCTATAGTAGAGTAATATACCAGCCCATATAAACCCGTTTAGCGATAAAAACACTCGAAATAAACGTTTGCTATCGTTCCCAGATATCGACGAGTGCACAGAAGGTGCGAACGCATGCCACATGGATGCCACCTGCACGAACACCGAGGGTGGATACACGTGCAAGTGCGACCGTGAGGGATTCAGTGGCGATGGAGTCGATAGGTGCAGCGGTGAGTTGGTTTCTCAACACCCGTGGTTTGCGTACTCCCTACCAATTATTGCTCTGTTAGATGCCTGCCGATGTGCATATTGTTTAATGCGGCAGCCGTATGTAGAGTTGTTACACATATTTTTGATGATGGGACTTAATACTCTAGACATGTATGCACATATACCGATATGTAAATCCCTTCGCTGTCATATAATGTTTGTTACAATGTCACTTTTATTATGGTATCTAGCAGGGGTAAAATAGGACATGTCATGTTACCCGAAGGCTTAGTAAGGTAAGGTTTTGTAGTAGCCGATTATGGTTTTTCAACTAGCCTTAAAAGCAGATGTCGATAGTGGTTGACGCGGAAATTGTTGATGACTCACGAAATCGGCTTCCGAGAGCTTTCTGAAGGTATTGTGGATGAATGGACGCATTAATATTCCCATTAATCATACACTGAAATATATCCGAAAAACGGGCGGAATTACGAAGATTGGTCTTGGAATTGTTTACATGC